GAGCGGTGGACAACCTGCTCGTGAGGCCGCAAGGCCCCGAAGCTGTGCAAGACGCCTTCATGTGCAGAGTTGGCAATCTCCACCGCCATGTTGTCGCCCATCGCTAGAGCATTGAGGCAAGGCGCGACGTCCACACCTTCGAGCTCGGGGCGCCAGGCTCGAAAGGCCTTGAAGCGGGATGATGGCAGACGAACGCGAAGGGCGTTACGCCTGGCGCGCGCGGGAGGAACGCGGAAAGTGTAGTAAAACTCCCGTAGGTCGTCGCAAGAAACTGCCAGCCACTCCCCAGGCGCCAGACCCAAACGGCACAGCAGGAAACCCTGGCCAAGGCGCTGGGTGCTGGACGAGATTGAGGCACAGCGGCTGTTCACGACCGTTGGGTTCAGGATCAGCCTGTCGAAGTCGCTGTCCTTCGGTAAAGGCAGGCTTCATCCCAGGCGAGGTCCGAAGCAGGAGTCAGGTACAGGGCGCCGCAGGCATCCCACTTCTGGAGTAGGGCCCACAGCTCGGCGCGGTCCATATGGACACGCGCCCCCTTTTGGCCAGCAGGCCACTCTGACGCCGGGAGCCGCATCTCCTCTGGATTGATGAACGCTTTGCGGACTCGAGCGTCAGAGAGAAACGGAATGGGATCAAACTCTGGCGAGTAATCCCACTTAATGCGAGACGCCCTGACTTTTAAATCGAAGGGCTCGACCTGGGTGGAGTCCCAAGCCGCCGCAGACGCCAGCGAACCAGGCACGGAAGGAGCGCTGGTCGGGCAGTGCCGCATGGGGGCGGGCACGGAAGAAGAGGAGGTGAAGGAGGCCTCCAAAGCTGCAACATGGGTGGCCAGGCCATGGAGCGAGACCTCAGTAGAGTCGAACTTGGCGAAGGCTCGACCTAAGTCGCTCTTGCCGCCACGGGCAAGGCGAACTGCGATCCGACACAACCGTTCGATACGGGTGCGGACGCCCTCCTGGCAGGGCGAGACCGTGGCGCGGACACGAGCCTCGGCGGGAGCGAGGCTAGGATGACCCAAAGTGAGCCAGTTCAACGCAATAACAGAATACTGCGCGAGCGTCCGCGCCGCGCGCCGCAATCTCCAGCGCTCCCTGCGCCTCGCCGACAAGCCGTCAGGCGGGGGACCAAGAGGTGGAGCAGGCGGGCACGGCCAAGGATCGCGGGGAGGCGGCCCCAAAAGGTACGGGTCGTCCCTGTCCATTGCACGCATTGATGAGCGGGGGAAAGATCCAAGAGAACATCGAGCACCCATCCCAACCTGGGACAGCGCTGCCGCCCAGTGGGTGATATCAATGTTCGCGCCTGGAAACAGGCGCAGCAAGGCAGACAAGTCAGCGACAAATGGCGCGACGTTGGCAAGAGCAGCAGGGGTGCTTGAAGGAGAACAAGCACCAGCAAGAACACCAACCTCAGGGGCTGCAGGCCCCATGGGGGGAGCGCTCGACTGAGGCAGGTGACGGCCAAAATGGCCGAATGGATCCGAGGGGCGGTTCGGAGCAGAGCGAGGGGCGTGGTGGCGGAACGTACTCCTCCCTGCGGGGCCGCAACAGCATCGCTGGAGGAGCGCATTCCTACCCTCACGCCCTCGCTGCGCCCAAACACGCCTAGCAGCCGTAGCAGCGTCGGTGCAGACTGTCTGCGGCGGCGTACCCCGGCCACGCGAAGGCCCCCCCTCCAAGAAGGCGGGCGCCAAGGGCATCTTCAGTCCTTCTTGGGCACCGCCTTCGGGGCCTTGGGAGCACCCTGAGACTTGAAGGGGGGCTTTGAGACCTTGGGCTGCTTGGGCTGATGAGGTGGATGCTTGGGGAGCGCGACGGCGCGCTCGGCGTCGAGGCGCGCCCGAAATGCTTGCAGCTCCTTCATGTATTCGCCCTGCGCCGACAGCCAGCGAGGATCCACTAGGGGTGAAAACGGGGTCTGGGCCTCGCGCTCCGTGTGACGACTGGTCACGCGACACGGGGGAGGCTCCAGCCCCGTGAGGAACCAAGCGGCCTCGAGGTAGCCGCGGTCCCCCGCCAACTGGTCGATGAACATGCACTGGCAAGTCAGCAAGGTCTGGACCCTCTCGGGGTTGCCCTCCTCGCAGGCCCGCCACAGCTCGGCGCTGAGGAAGGCAAAATGCGTCAACAACTCGTGCGTCGACGGCTGAGCCCCGAGGGGGCTGTGCTCGCGAAAGTACTGATGCATGGCCATGGGGGTCACGGCGCTGACTTCCACGCCCAGAACGCGGGCCAAATTCTCCTTCATCAGTCCTCGCACGTCGGGGCCGTGCTGCATCAGCGCTTGCTGCCACTCGCGCCTCCGAGCGATTCCCCCCATCTGAGCCGATGCGTGCGCGGGGTCGCCCGAGGTCGCGGGCGGAGATTGAGCTTGGTCGCTCAGGGTCCCCAGAAGCGGGTGGAAGGCTGGGCGATGGCCCCGCCCCTGCTGCAAGGAAAGGGACTGGTGCAGGCACTGAAGCATGAGGCTGAAGTCCGTCGGATTGGCCGCAAGGGGCGGCTCTAACCCGTCGGCGCCGCCCGCCTCGGCAAAGCCGTCGACCGCAGCGGGATGGGCTAGCCCAGGCGGCGGCGGGGGGCCCATCGGTCCGAAGCGGACGAAGGGGCCCGAGGGACAGCAAGAGAGCGCGCCTTCTCCCACGCCGAGACCAGCGCGGAGGTGGGTCCCTTGGGGCGCGCGGAGACCCGATGTGGGGCCACGGGCGCGTGGGACAAGACGGCCTCGATCCCCGCAGGATCCAGCCCGAGGCGCGCCGCCTCGTCGCTGAAAAGCTGAGGCACCTCGGGCCGAGCGCTCCGGGCAGCCGGAGCGGGGCCCAGCGGTTCGGGTCCGCCGACCATCGTGGAGGCCGCGTGGGCTGCAAGCAAGGCGCGCATTTCGGCAGCTACCTCGGCGCGGGTCATGGGAGCCCCGTCGTCCAGAGACGCCGCAGGAGCACCAGGAGCAATCGGAGCAGGACCCGCGACCCGTGGCGGCGCGGCGGCGCCAGCGCGCTTGGCGGGCGGGCCGCGCGGCGCTCCAGCGACCGCGGGGGCTCGCGCACTTGGGGCCGCGCGGTCGGCTTCCCCGTCGGCCGCGAACCCCTCGGGCTCCTCCATCTCGTCGGCAGAGTGATAGGGGGTAGCCCGATCGGCCCCTGGGAGAGGCTCTTCCCCTGCGGTAGGCGGGGCGCCGTGCAAACGAGCGTAGCCCTCGCGAAGCACCCGAACCCCCGAAGGATGCGGCCAATAGACGCGGCTGCGCACCTCGGCGAAGGGAACGATGCCTGCGTCGTCGCCGACCTCTAGAGGGTACAGCGACTCGAGCTCGAGCTCGGCAACCTCGATATCTATAACGAGGACGGATGCGGTAGTGGCGAGCGGCCGTGAGGCGGCCCCCTGGAGCTGGACGTCCACTAGCTGGAAGGGGCCTATCATCCCAGCAAAGCCATCCGCCTCGGCAGCCTCGAGCTCCGCTGTAGAGCGAAAGGCACCAGGCAGGGCCAGCAGGATGCCCCCTTCTCGAGAGGCGAGGGGGATAGCCGCCCAGCTGGTGTCGCCGTCGTCTAGGCGCCATCGTGCGTAGTCGCGCGCCGTGGGCGCAGCGAAAGGGTAGAGCTCGGGCCAAAGGGGCCCTCCGCCAACTGGTGGCAGCTCCGCCATCAGTGGGCGCCGCCGTGGACGCCGCCGCCCGCACGCTGGGCGTCTGCCCGCTCGAGCGCTTGAGGTCGAGGCGGAGCCCCGTAGGCCAGCGCTCGCGCCGCACGGCGGTCCTGCTCAGGTGAAGCAGAAACCGCGCCGCGCGGCCAGGCGGAGGGCCAGAGCCTCCGCCACACGTACGGGCCCAGCAGCCCGAGGCAGCAGCCCGCGCAGGCGCTGCAGGCGGCCGTCACCCAGAGGAGGGCGGCGACCGTGCTGAGCAGCCAGGGAGAGACCCCGCCGCTCAGGTCCACCGCCAGCCCGAGGCAGACGGTGGGGCAGGTGGAACCCGCCGAAGGGAGAGGGCAGGAGGCCCCCTCACCTTCGGACGAGTCCGCCTGCTGGATGGACCAGGCAGGCGATGGAGGCCCCTGGTCCTGAAGCACAGAGAGGGGGGCAGCCACGAGCCGCTCGTAGAGCGCGGCCCGCAGCCCCCTGAACAAAATCTCCCCAGCGCCCTGGAGAGCCGCTTGTGCGACCGCCTGCATAAGGCGCCCGCACGCGCGGCCGACGGGGGGCACTTGGGCAGAGAAGCTGCGGAGACAGCAGGAGCTTGCTCACAGAGAATAGAAGAGGCAAGCAGACGGATGAGGGAAGGGAAAGAAAAAGGAAGAGGACATATCAGTCAGAGAGGGAGAACTGGGATATGGAGGAGCTGGGATGGGGGATGACAGAGGCACACTCCAGAGGAGAGAGGATACTTCGCAGGGAGACTGGGATGGACGAGGAAGCGACCCACGAGGGATGAGGGTATCGGGAAGGAGGAGGAGGACGACGACAACGAAGACGACGACGAAGACGACGACGAAGACGGCTGGTAGAGAAAAAAGGTCAGGAGTGCTGGGGAGGAGCGAGCTGGAGGAGAATGATGGAGGAAAAAGGGGGACAGGGAGGGATGGGGAAGCCGAACTGAGGAACCGTTTGAGAAGTAGTCGTCCACCTTGCCCTTTTTTCCAAATCCGACAAGTCCCAGGGCAGTCGTCCAAACTGCTCCTGGAAGACGCTCTCCCCTTTGAGGCCACTTGTGGCTCTCCAAGCTCGCAAGCCAGAGGTGGATCAATCCGATTCGCCATCCAATCGCATACACAACCCCTTCAACGTTGGAAGCCGCGTCCAGCCGTGATGACGAAGCAAACCCAGACACGCCCAAAAACTTCCGAAACGGAGATGTCGCCGTCGACGGCATCACTCGAAGACAACACTGCGTAAACATTAACCTAGGGAAACCTGTCCCTGGCGCTGGGCAGGATGTCTTGCTTCGGCGCTGGGCCCTACTCCCTGGCGCGCGAGCGCGCCACGGGCTGACGCGGCGCCAGAAGCACCGAGGGGCGCAAAGCGCCGATCCAAGAAATCCGCGTGGAGCTCCAAACCTTTAGATGCATGCGATGGTTAATTTTCCGATGGTCTTCACCCGGGGGCCTCCTGCCCCTTGGACCTGAGCTGCTCGCCGAAGGCCTCTATCCTCGCGCGCTCGGCCTGCGGCAGGCGGCGTCTCCGCCGCCCTTCTCGCCTTCTGCTGTCCCCCCGCCCCGCCGTCCTCCCCCCTCCTCCTCCTCGGTCCTCCGCTACCCTCCGTCCTCCGCATCCATCCTCCCTTCTCATCGTCCGGCGTCCCTCCTGCCGCCCTCATTCCTCCACCTTCCCTGATCCTCCTCATCATCATGCCTCCTTCCCCTCCCTCCACCTCCCACATCCCTCTCTGCCCTCACAGGTTTCGTCGACGCTTTCTCTGGGAAGCGTCGCGTCGCCACGGCTGGGCTCCACCTACCGAAACTCCGATCAATGAACCCTACCCGATCTGAATCAAGCACAAACAAAGCATTGCTTAGTATTGCGTTGCTTGGCGTTGCGGGAATTGATTGACATTGATTTGCATTGTTTGGTGATGATTGGCATTGCTGTTCATTGAACTCCCGGGCAACCTGGGCAACAGGGCAACCCGGGCAACCTGGAAACCTGGTCATGGAACCGGCTATGGGGCTAGGGGGCTATAGGGCTATAGAGATATTGGGCTATAGAGCTATAGGGCTATAGAGTTGTAGGGCTATAGGGCTATAGGTCTTAGGGCTATAGGCTATAGGGCACCCCCAGGCGGCACCCCCGGGCACCCCCCAGGCACCCGGGCCCCGGGCACCCCCGGGCACCCGTGCACCCAAGCGTGCAGCGAAAATCGGCGACAAACCGAATCTAAGCATATGAGTCCGCTAGGAGCCCTACAGAGGCAAGCTCTGATTGGAGAACATTGAAGAAGCCTTTCGGCAAACCTTGACTGGGGACAACTGAACGAACAAACAACGGTATAGACATCATTTCTCTGAGGTCCGCTCGGATTTCTTGTAGATCAGAGCTGGACCCCTGGCGCGACGAGCGCGCCAGGGGCGACGCCTGAGGCGCCGCCAGGGGCGCCCAGCGCCGATCCAAGAAATCCGCGCGGAGCTCGGGCAGGCGCTTTCCTGCGTGGACGGCGGGGAGAGAAAGGGCAAGAAAGGGAAACGATTGCTTGAGCTAATGTGGCTATATGGCGCCTGAACTATGTAAGTGGGCCTAATTTTCCGGAGTCGCAACCCTGAAGGGCATGAAGGCCCGGCACTGGGGGCTTTGGTCCAGACCAGACCGCACGGAACGAGGTCGCTCTGGGCTAGCAACCTGCCAGAGTCGCAGAAAGGCCGCAACAGGGCCCCAACAGGGCCCCAAGAGGGCCCTAAGAGGCCCCGCAGGGCAGTCACAGGATGACTCACAAGTGAGATGAACAGCGTGGATCTTCATGTTGGAATCTGCCAGAGGATGTGTTCACCCTGGCATCTGTGACATGAAATTGGTGCAGCTGGACCTTGGTGCACGACGGGCCCACCAGAAGATTGATTAATCGAATGTGAGTGTGAAGCACGCGTCCGAATCCCAGAAAAGCGACAAGCGTAGCAGGAAGCGCGGAGTACACCAGAGAGCGAAACACAGCAATACTGTGGTTGAAAAAAACACGAGTAGGGACTTGTGAATAGGCTCTCTGATCGGCCGCGCGTCCAGGGCAGAGATTAGTCAAAGTGTGGATAGGCTCTCTTATCGGCCACGCGGCCAGGACACAGACTGTGAAAAGGGGAAACCTTGTCCGAGGGACATTCGGAGGGTGACGAATGGAACAACGAAAACGCAACGTAGTTCGGTGCCACGTCATCCTTCCGAGGATGGGCTGGCATCCCCCAAAATAGACGTGCATTTGCCTGCGGGCCAGCACGCCCAAACGCTGGGCACGCCCAAACGCTGCCCTGCGCATTTGGCCGCAACTCCGCCTCCAGGCGGCAATCGAAGATCCTTGAAGGGGGCATTGTAGTAAATTCTGACGGACTATGGTGGGATTGACCGAGTGCAGTCCCAGAGAACTGCATGAGACATCTCTGTGACAAATTGGGCTGTGGGGCGGTGCTGAAACGGACACTGTGGGAACTGATCGGCGTGTTCAATGTGGGAACTGGTCGACGTGTGCAAAGTTCCCGTGCCACTCTGCCGCGGAGTTCTCTCTCTCTGTAGTCCTTCGTGGCTCAAGTTGTTCAGGAGGCCAGGTGAACATGTCGGATTGACAGGGAGACGAGGCGCGCTCAGAGACCTAAGGGTAGCATCTCAGCACGAGGTGGCTGCTCCAGCGTAAGGGCAATGCTGGTCTCAACGGGCCCCGAAACTGAAACGGACAATGCGGGCACCCACCGTCCTGTGCAAAATTCCTGTGCTTCTCTGCCGAGAGTTCTCACTCTCTGTAGCCACTCGTGGCTCAAATGACTCGTAAGGCCAGTTGAAACAGAAAAATATATGATCTGTGACGCAGGCATTCCTCGGCCGGTCCCATCGGGTGAGATGTGCAGTGCGTGGGATGTAGTATAGCACGTAACAAGCCAAGGGCACCCCTGTTGATCACTACTTCCGGGCAGTCGGGGGCGTGAGGCTACTCGAAAAGCGAACTATCCTTAGAAACCAAAAAGGGGAGGTTATGCACAAAACACCCCCTCCCCCTTGGGATGGGGGGATTGGCCGGCGATCCCTCCTCTTGCGTTCCGCGCCATGACATCGCCCCAAAGAAGGATACGAACGTGGTGATCGCAGAGAGGTGCGGAAGTGTGTAGGACCGCTGGCCTTTCCGCCAGACTGTGTCCAGAGGATGCGGCGGAGCAGGAGGGAGGAGGGATCGAGGGCAAGACGACAAGGTTGGCGACATCGACAATGGTGAGACGGAGGGGAAGTCGCAATGAGGACATAGGGTAGGGCGCGAAATGAGGAGAAGGACGGAAGGAGGATGGGGGGACGAGGTGGCGGAGGAGGTAGGAGAACGGAGGACCTTGAGGGGATAACAATGAAAATGATGACGAGAGACTGATGATAATGAAGGCAGGGAACAGGGGGGCAGCGGAGGCAGGATGACGGACGTGGATGAGGATGGGGGGACGTGGCATGGGGAAGACGTGTAAGGGACGGAGGATGAGGACTGGGAGGACGAGTGGAAGGAGGAGGACGACAATAAGGATGACGAAAGATGGAGGGATGGAGGGAGAGGATGAGGTGGAGCAGAGCGGACGATGATGGAGATGAGGAGGCTGGGAAGATGGCAAGGAGGAGGAGGGAAGGGGGAAGCGGGCGAGGGCTTGGAGAAGAATGGGCAGGAGAGGAGGGAGAATGGGGAGGCAGGAGAGGAGCAGGAGATGGAGAAGGAGGGAGATCAGCAGGAACAGTGGCCACGGCACGAGCGGGAGGAGCCTTCCCTTTGGTGGGGGCGCCAACGTTCCACGCACGCCGATCCAGGACAGGCTGATCCTGGGCACATAATCGGTGGATATGCCGTCTGGGCCTCTAGGCAAGCAAACGTACCGTACAATCCGATCCTGCGCTGAGGTCGCCATTGCCGCCCGGTCTGCTCGGAACGCTGGCGTCACACGAGAGGACGCCACCTCCTCCCCGAGCCCTCCCACGGAAGGCTTTTGGAGACCTGCGGAACGGCTCGCACTGTGAGGCCCCGTTAAGGGGTCTCCTGAGGTCACCCATAGTCCCACCGGAAGGTCCTTATAGAAAATGCCAGACACCGACGAAAAAAAACCCTCGATCGTAGACCTCCTCGTCCTCCTCCACGAGAGAAGCCCTGGATGCTCCTGGAAACGACTGAGCGATCGCCCAAGACCTAGGATGCCCCGCGGAGGCCATAGAGGAAGAACCAACGGCATAGAAATAAACTTTGCGCGCTCCGCGCGGAGCGCGCTAGGGGCGGCGCCGGAGGCGCCGCCAGAGGGGTCCAGCGCAGATCCAAGAAATCCGCGCGGAGCGCCGACAAACCATGTTCAAACATTTGTTGCTCCTCGATTGAAGCGGCTTCGCCTGGAAGGCCCCGCAGCGGCCTCGAGCTGCGTGTGGATCGAGGCTATCTCCTCGTC